TGGCACATCATCAATTTCTTCTTCTATTTACAAATACCGGATGACTACAGTTGTCTGTTCTTTATGTGAAACATCTGGTGTTGAATCAACAATTACAGAAAAGTACTTCCCCTGTCTTTCAAAATAGCTTCTTGAACAAATGACGCACAAAGCTCAATAAAATCATTTTGTATACTTCGTGAAAGGTAGTGCATTTGCATGTGATGATGACTTTTTTAAGATTTTTTAACTTGTGTTGCATGTGTTTTCAAGACAGAGTTGTATTCACTGAGAAGCTCTATTATGCTCAAAAAGTTTCCATTTGCATGGTCGCCAATATACTGATTTGATCAAAAAAAAAAAAAACTAGACCTCGTTCGGAAAGAAACAGAAGAACATGCAAAATGTTTTGAAGGATTTGTTTCCATTTTGCACATTTGGCATTTAGCTCACGCTACAATAATCATCCATTGTGGTTTTGCTAGTCACAGCTGTTTGGGTACATCTCCATGCTACATGGTTTTCTATATGACTCACATAATTTTCATGTGCTGGAATACGATCTTTTAGCTTTTTCCAACCTCTTTTGATACTCCAGCCAGATTACAAACAAAGAAATGATACATTTGTGCTGCCAGCAGTAAATCTACACTGTCTAGTATATTTTTCCATAAGAAAACTTGGAGTGCAAAAAAGAGCTTGTTTTGACTCACTCCAACACAACAGTCCCTTTTGTAAGTCTCACCGTTTTGGCTTCTCTTAACCAACAAACGAACAGGAAAAGAGTGATTTTACTGCCCCCACCCCTTTGTAGGGCCTGGGTGTCTGACTTGTTGGCGATAAATTTCTAAATAAGCAGCCAGCACACGGTACATTTATTACATAATAATATATTCAAAACAAATCAAACGTATGTACAAAAATTCGTTACATAGTAGAAAGCAATATCTCCACTGCATTGTGAAACAAGTCATTTCTTTAATTATTACTAGGCTGTGTGCTTAGTGTATATACATGTGTTCTTTTTTTAGTTATAAGTGATACTGTTTGATGGTTAAATTACAACTAGTTGTATTTGTATTTTTTATTCTTAAAGTATTTAAAAATCATCGTCATCTTTAGTGTCTACAGAAAGCTTGTTTGGGTGCTAAATACCACACACTTGGATGTAGCAAGGATTGAATACAACATTAATAGGTTTGGACACTCATCAGAAAGTTCATGATGAGATGAAAGAACAATCTTTTTTTATTTTTCTGTTAAAAACCATATAACTTCGTTATTTTCCTTAGAATACAGTGTGTACATTTGTGATGACTTTGGTAATTGTAAGTAACTTCTAAATTTAATAATTAAATAAAAAACAATTTGGTGTTAAGTTTGAACCAGTGACATGACAATGACTTTCATTCACACTGAAGTGAAATTTATTAACATTTTATAACTCCTTAATTTGTTATAGATAAAAATAAGCATTAAGATAAGGCATAAAAGATCTTTTTGTGAAGGTGCTGTGAAATTTAACTAATTACACAGGCCTGCGAACTTCATAAAAATCGTTTTGGTTTTAATAACAGATTTTCCATAATCTAGCTGCCCAGATTTCGAAAATAATATTCTTTTTTTTCTATCACGTAAGGTTTTTTACAATTCGGAAGGAAAAAAACTTACTTAGATCAAATTATTATTCCGTTTACCACAAAGAACATTTTTTATGATTATGTTTGTTAAAAAAATGCAAAAACTGAAGAAATAGGAAGAATATTGATATCAAATGCATCCTCATTCATCCCGATTTTTTGTGTGAAATTATGTCTTTTAGTCTCAAAACCACTTGTGGTCTTTCTTTTATATATTGCGTCTGGAGCATCTCGTTTCAATGACCAGCAGTAATCAGCCATCATGCTGATGTTCCATCTTCCCTGATACCTCATCTCCATTTCCCCTGATGTGAAACCTTTCCCCTTGTTCTTCGCTGATGGCACCGAGATTTTTGTGGAAATAGTCATTATATGAGTGTAAGAAATGAGCTTTCAAGCTCATATTACAATCCAACTCTTTGACTTTATTGAGCATGTTATTGACAATACTTTCGTAACTTGGGTCCTTATTGTTTCCTAAAAATTTGTCAATAACATCTTTAAAGGCAATCCATGCTTCTTTTTCAACTTTCCTCATTGTCCTTCCGAACTGTTCATTCGAAGTTAGTTTCCTAATCTGAGGCCCAACAAAAATCCCTTCTCTAAGTTTCGCTTCTGAAAGAGCTAGGAATTGCCCTCATAGATACTTGAAACAGTCGCCATATTAGTCTAACGCCTTTACAAACTGCTTCATCAAGCCCAGTTGTATGTCATGTGGAGGTAATAGGACTTTCTTCATATTAACCAAACTTTCACGTTCAATGTTTTTCGATCCTGGTATCATGCTGACTCTGCGTGGCCATTGCTTCTTTATCCAGTGCTGATTTTGTTCTCTACTTTCCTATTCACACAAAAAACAAGGCAAATTTGTATAACTGGATTGTTGAGTCAACAACATACAAAGGACTTTTAAGTCTTCACAGTGTATCCAACAATGTTCTTTGTATTTGACCTTATTAAGAAGTTCGAAATTTTCTTAGGTTTCCTTCAAGTGAACCGGATGAGCAATAGGAACAGATGCATATATGTTACCATTGTGAAGGAGAACACTTTTTAGACTTCTTTTGGAGGAGTTAATGAACAATTGCCACTCACTTGGTTCATATACAGCAATTCCTACCATTCAGCAATATTGTTTTAATAAACCAGTGAACCTTCTTGCGAAAAGTATGGTATAAACTCTTTTTCGCGATTTTTGAACCAGTAAAATGATGTCTCTGGAGAAAGTAAGTTCTTAGCCCGAAGTCTGGACCCCAGAATCTCTGAAGGATCCTTTGGAGGCCTAAATCATTAAGTTCGCCTTGTGTGAGAAGTTGTGGTTCACCAGACGTTTCCAGTTGGAAACAATCCCTATCATTATTTCTATTGACATCAGATTAATAATCAGATGAAACTGTATCACAAGTCTGCGGTGGAGTAGGTACAGGTACATCAGATCCATGAGCAACAGGTCTTATAGCAGATTTGGATAAGAAATTTCATTTTTATTTCAAGTGCTGTAGCCTTGCACGTTACATGAACAAAAATAGCAGTCATCTCCTTGGTTTCTAGGCTCGCGCCGGACCACTGGAATTCCAAAAGGCAAAGACTTTTTCATACCTTTAGTCCATTGTCTCAACTCTTAATGCAAACTTTGTGCGGATCCTATGATTTGTCTTGGTCCCCAAGTTTTATTCAAAAATACACGTAATACGCTTTTTTGACGAATTTTGTAATGTTTTGCCATTGTTTTATTACAATAAACTTACCACAAATATAACAGGATATGTTTGCGTCATTTACACAAACTCTTGTTGCCATAGCGACGAATAAATAATATTGATACGTAAAAATAACGTCAAAGTGCCGCACAAACAAATACTATCCAGAAATGACACGTCATACGGCCTGTTTATCGTTTATATACTAGCAAAGGCAGAGAAATAACACAATTATCATCGATATGTGTGCATACTGATACATTTAATTTGAGAGGATTTGTTATTCAGAATTAACATTAAAAATAGTTGTGCAGAAATAAACCTAGTTAGTTGTTCTTTTGAAGTTAATACAAGGAGTGAAGACAAACCAGGAGGTAAATGAGTAAATCTCAGCATAAGCAAGTATACAAGAGGTGCCTTAGGAAATATTACCTTACAAGTTGGGCCGAATGTGGCAAAGAGATCACTGTGGCAGACTATGAATCTGAGATATGGTTTGTGTCACGTTGCCGCTAAATCGAGATCCGCACTTTAAGGCTTGGTGTATTATCAGAGTGACAGTCAAATTCTACAAGAACTGGCGGTAAGTACTAGTGACCTTCTTTCTAGTCTTTTAGATCAAAATCAGGGACGGTTAGCGCAAATAGCGCCTGTGTAGCTTTGCAGGAACACCCTTAACAACCAGAACAATCTTATAAATTAGCGCCTCGAAGTATCTGGAAATGGGAAATGCACGAGCAAGTATTGATACTGACTGTGACAAGAAACGCTTGCAGGAGTTTCTGATTCAAAGTATGCTTATAACAAGAAATGTATACAATAACAAATTTAACTTGATTGGAAATCGTGCTATTTTTATATTCAGTATTAAAAATTTTAACAACTTTTAAGTGCTTTTTTCACTCCAAAACGACATTTATTCCTGTGTTAGGTAAAGTTAGTTATTTACATGATAAACTTGACAGTTTTATAGTCGAAACTGCTGAAAATTTGTGTTGTTATACTTATATTTTTAGGTCAAATGATATGAAATATACTTTATGTCTGAAAGTAATCCAGCGTTGTTTTGCAAGAGCGATACGTAAAATCTGTGCACTACTTAAATTCAATTTTGTTTTCAGATGAGACAGCGGTGAGTTTACGAATTTACAAAGATAAGATCCAGGATTCTATTCCTCGCAGTGAACACAGCAGATAGGCTAATGTAGCTTTGCTCTAAAACAAACAATAAATAAATTCAATTCCGCTCTGATTTCGATCGCAATGTTATACATTAGTTCACATACGGTTGAATAACTGTGGATGGATGAAAGCGGGAATAACATTATTTGATTACAGAGTCCACCATAAAGTCTCGAACAAGTAGGTACAGCATTGTTGATGCAAATTCAACGTATTTACGGACGTAATTATTGCATCTTTCATGGCGTGCTTAAAAGCTGGTGTTATTTATGAGATATGAAAACCCAATGTATGGCTTTGTCTAGTCCAATGAAAACAACAGGTCTTAGTGGCAGATGTTTCTACATCTGCTTGTTTGGTACACGTGCATAGGTCACCTGCTACACAAATTCTGCGAATTTACAGTGGTTCTCAGTCGCAATTTAAAAATACAAGTAATGATGCTGCAGACCCAGTATATAGCATATACGATAAGAGAACTAGTATTTCTGTTTCCTGAGGGAGTTTTTTAAATGCTGTATAAAGTACCGACTAAACCATTCACTTACACTAGATGATCATTGTTAAAAATCAGGTAATTCCATTCTTTACGATTTACTCTCGAATTCTGCGCAATGTAAATTATCTGAAGTGAATGCCGTCTAAAATTTTACGTAAGCTAAAACATTTTCCTTAAAAAGTTTATTTATTGTGCTAATTTCTCGGAATCAAGTGATTCAAGACTATTTACGTGAATTTTAATATTCTGGTGATAATGACCACTTTTTTAAATTGTTCGATGCTTAGCTTTCATTTAGTACAAAAAACTGGCCAATTTTAATAATAACACCCTCCTTTTTTTACCAGACTATTGAATAACTGTTTTAAGATTAATTTTTAAGTTTCCTTTTGTAATTACAAAAGCTTCCTCTGAAAGACATTCCGTCTGCCTCACTGAGCATGATGCATGTCTCAACGACAAGATGGCATTATGACGAAGCTGAAATTCGTGAAAATTACGACGACGACGCTTTGCCTTTCGAAACTAATTTCACTTTCCAGAACACGTTCCTCTTCTATAGCGTGTTTGTTACAAACAATTCCAACCATTCTCTAGATCATTTTCATGATGTTGCACTCCTGGCTAATGATGTTGCATATCTCAACAGCATTGTCTACGGAATATTGTTCCCAGTGTTAGTAACCTTAGGATTTATTAGCAATATTTGTAACCTAATTGCCTTAACTCAAACTCCAAAAATGCATAAAATTCCGTACTTGTTCATTCGGGCTCGAGCGATAACGGACATGATTGTTATTGTTCTCATAATTCCCTTCATGATCCACATGACTAAGAAAACTAGGACCTGGAATAACCCCGTGAGTGTTTTTTATCATGCCCACCTAGAACTGTGGATCATAAACGCATTCATCGGTGCCAGCACTTTGTACGTTGTGGGTCTAACAATTGAAAGGTACATTTCTGTCTGCAAACCCTTTTCAGCCCATTCGCAGAAAAGTAGTTCCAAAAGGGTGTTGGCAGTAGTGATCATGCTGCCGTTCGTGTCCGTTGCCTTTCACGTTCCTTATTATTTCGACTCGGTGATTGTCCACAAACTGGAAAATTACGACAACGGTACGTCCTATTCATTTCACTACGATTCCCATACTCACGACTCAGTCTACTTCAAAATCTATTTGGTGTTTTTAGAGGTCTTGTTCCGTGTCGGACCTACTGCAGCGGTGGTAATGTTAAATATTCTCATCCTTGTCAGCTATAAAAAGTTTCTCCAGAAACGATCAGAATTAACGAATAGGAAAAACAGCGCAAGTCATCACCGTCAGAAAGAAGAGGAAAGAAGACTTTTTTTCCTTCTGGGAGGAACCTCGTTGCTGTATATCATTTGCACTACGCCATCAGCTGTCCTTTCGTTAATCATCAGTGACCAGTTCAATAAAGTATTCGCTTTTCAGTTGTTTCGGACAATCGCAAATTCTCTCGAACTGACCAATAACGCTATTACCTTCGTAATTTACACGCTGTTTTCACTCGACTTTCGGAAAGCATTCCTGCAGGCCATTCGTCTCAAAGACCAAACTAATGTAATTCACCCAACTAACTGATGATATACCATAAACATCTATTCTGAAAATTGTCATGTTTGATTATGAGACGTATCCGTTCATCAACAGCTTGATCAACATGTGTAGTTTGCGGATCATTTGAAACAAGTACATGTTACGCAATGAAAGAATGTCACATCAACAAGAAAGTTGCAAAATGATTACCATAATAATGAACTCTTTATGATATTACGTATAGCAAGGTGCGTTACGTGTGAAAAGTTATTCTCGTGAAAAACACCATAACTCATGTACTCAGAATGTTTTTGCAGTGTTTAAAATAAAGAAAAAATCGTTAAAGTTTTTATTTCCTACTCCTCAGGCAACATAGATCGTTACTTAACATATTCGTTGTCAATAGCCAGGTGTCTCCTATTTATTTATCATAAAGGAAAATGAATATTTTGCACATAGCACCGTCAGTTTTAAGTTTCACTTGTTTTATTATATAGTAAGGCTATTCAGCACCAACTGTTTTATCATATTGCCTATTTATAGCGTTCTAACCTTGTGTATGATGTGTGCAAAACTTTATGTAACGATACACTAGGTGCCAAATAAATTGAAGAAATATTTTAAGGCTGTATATGTTTATATATATTTTTAAAACAGTAAAAGCTAATTGTGAAATTAGCTGTCTAAATTATAAATGTTTTTTTCTAATATCATTGCATATTTTTCTGACGATTGTTTTGTATTATTTTTTTAATTTTTAATACGTTTATTAGAAATTTCAATTTTAGAAAAATTTAAACAGGGATACAATTTTACTATAGTAATAAAATTATCGATTTTTTCTGGTTAAATGTGCATGTAACTATAAGGAGCGTCACAAGGCACTAGCACCCGAGCCCATGCCTCGAATACCCGGTTGGTGTCTTGAAAATACAGAATAGAAAACTACGATCAGTATTTTACAGAAACGCCGAAAATCCCCGTGTGTATAGGCCCCGAATCTTTTAAGCACCCAGTGGTAACCATAAACCTTCCATGACGTTATAAAAACATCACATCGAATGTGTAAAAGTATACATTTATGTATCCAACTTAAATTTAAAATGTGGTTCCGTGCCTTTAGAGATAAGAGGGCTTATAACGTTTAAATTAGGGGTCAATCTTTACACTCGGCAGACACGCCGCAGGTAAACCAACCGTATCTTTGTGCTAAAAAACGAACAAACAAATTGAAATCAAGCTTTATTTTTTATTCTTTAGTGAAAATATGATTGGTGTTTTAAAAAAATAATATATTATCACATGTATGAATACAATCAAGTTTCCGGTATGTAACAAACAATTGCTTTGTGTAAACAATGGATGCTGTAAATGTTTTAAAGCACTTCCTAGACACGTGGCACGACATGAAACAAAAAGACCTGTTAACGACCTCTAAATGTTGATTGTTTCATTCAACAAGAGGGTATAAGCAAAAGAAGAATATATCTGGTTTTGTATAATTCTAACTTTCATGGATAATTTTGCGTATGCATCTCGTTATTAATGGATTCTATTAATTTTACGTTGTTCATATTAAGTTACGTTTTATGATTAACACAAGTAATACACTTATGCTCGAATGTAGAAGAAAGCATACCAGAAATATTAGCAAATGTCAGTATTAGGTTGTTTCAGTTTTACTTAATTAATTTACATTGATTTTTCAGGTTTTTTGTTTTGTTTTAAATTCCCCGCAAAGCTACACGAAGGCTATCTGCGTTAACGTCCCTAATTTAGCAGTGATAGACTAGAGGGAAGGCAGCTAGTCATCACTACCAATCACCAACTTTTGGGTTACTCTTTTACGAACGAATAGTGGAATTAACCGTCACGATATAACGCCCTCGCGGTTGAAAGGGCAAGCATATTTGATGACGGGAATTCGAACCCACGACCCTCATATTACGAGTCGAAAGCCCTAACCACCAGGCCACAATTTTTTTAGGATTCCTAAAAACAACCAACCTCTGCTCTAGTGGTTAGACTGTGTTGATTTGGGGCTTTCTTGAGCAAAGGAACAAGGCTATCTGCACCAAACGGAATAATGCGCTATTTGGTCAGATATTAGCAGGCTAATAGTTTGTAGACAGTGTTTCTGACTACCTGCCTTTCCGCTAATCTATCAGCTCCAGATTATAGACGGCTGTGCGCAGACGGCCCTTGTATAGCTTTGTTCGAAGTTCCAAAACAGTATCTTTATTCATTCTTACTATTAATGTTACACATTTAACTGATCAAACTAGGCCGTAAGTTATTTCAAACTCGGCATAATCTTTCAGTGATTAAAACATTTGAAATGAGATTACACTGGTGCATTTACCAATTTTTATATAGTCTAGGTGTTTTACATTGTGTCCAATGTCTTTCTTTGGATGAAACTATGCCAGAGTCAGTGAATTCAATTTTCTCTTTGATACATTTCCTTATTGAACTTCCTGTTATTCTATGGATCTTATCTGATTATTCGAAGGGAGATTAGTGAACCTGAGGAAATGACAAAGAATTCCTTTTTTAACTTTAAAAAAATAAGGAAAATATTATATAATATATCCAATGTCGTCACATGATGATGCTATTAACTAAGCTAATAATAACTGGCTGATTATTTATTTCTGCTGCAGATTGCATAATATAAGCGCAAAGCTACATAATAGGTTTCGCGGGTTCGAATCCCTGTCACACCAAACATACTCGCCCTTTCAGCCGTGGGGGCGTTATAATGTGACGATCAATCCCACTATTCG